CCAATTTTTTGTCCGTCTCTCAGGCGGGGCCACGGTCAGAATGTTTATTTGACGCGCGGGGCTTGGCCGTGAGTTACTATCAAGTCTCTTTGTAAACGTCCTGATCCGGCAGAAGAGAGATGTCGGAGCTCGGAAGTCGTGTAGGTAAGCTTTATCGGTGAAGGCCGCACCGGCAGCAGATGGAAGGGTGGTGAATAGCTTGGGGTGCATGGCTGTAGACGTGTCGATCGCAGCAACATTGTACGGCGTAGTACACAGGCATGTTATGGCATGGGCTCAGAACAGAAGTGGTTGAGATGCCGGGGTCTCGTTGCAATGGGAAGAATCTTATGCGAGTTTCCCAATCAATTAAATGAAAGCTGCTGGGACACGGAATTGGTATCCATCGCGGCCCGGCCAAAAAAGAAGTTTGGGTATCTTCCTGGCCTTGATTGAGAACGGGACAAAGCTGGAATCTGAAGAAAGTGCGGGTTGACGAACAAGAAACGGATCAGAGATGCAGCTGTCCAGGGCACACGAGGTGCAGTCAAGTCGATGAAGAGTAAGATGAGGTAACCCTGAAAAAACCCGGTTGGCAAATTGGGGATTTTGGGGACAGGCTGCTCGCCACGGCCAGAACACATCTCAGTGGGTTTTTCTCCCTCTCGTCTGGCCTCCTTCTGGCTGTGTTTCCCCGCTTCTTTCTCTCTTGGTCTAGAATCCTAGATGTGTCGAGGCAGCTCCCAGTTCCTCCTTCCGTGAGGAACAAAGAGGACGTGGACGGGAGTCGGGGAGGGGCTAACGTGATTGGCGCATCAGAGAGGGACGGCCCCACTAGCCAGCACCCCTGACCAGCCCAGCCCAGCCTAGCTTGGCTCTGACTGGCAGTGGCACAGGACATGAAGCGGGCCTTTACCTGGAGAAAAGTGTGGGGAATCGGAACGATGCTGAGCGATACGTACCTGCTTGCTCACAGGTGTGGTTAGCGCGACTCCATCACGCAGGGCGGACATCTTGCTTGCACTGTATGGACACCAGCCGACTGAGTAGCGCCCATCGTTATTTTTCCTTCTTTTTGAATAGCAGGTGTCAGGGCCCAGGGCAGAAGGGTACCTTAGCCTGAGCTTGTCCGAGATCCGTCTTCTCAACCGTCCCGTCCAGTCTGCTCTTGGGCAACCTGCCTGCTCTTTAGTCGACTTCTTATGCTTCATGTATTAATGGCACGTTGCTCATTGGTCCATCAGAGAGGCCTCAGCCTGAGTTGGCGAGTTCCCTGGCAGCCGCGGAAGCTAGGTGCAGTACACCACTTCAAGCTCCTCTGGGCTCCAGCGGCAGTCTTGGACAACTTCCTGCGTACTATGGTTCTCATCGCTGGCTGGGCCCCGTGAAAAGGGGTTTCTGATCTGCCATGTCGCCTCTCTCTCTCTCTCTCTCTCTCTCTTTCTGTCTCGCTTTCTGGTGCACACCCTCTCGCAGTCCAGCTTGAGCCATAGAGCGGCGTTTGACAAGGAGGGGGGAACCATCCAGCAGCACACTCAGTGCCAACCTTGCCGTAAGTGACCTAGCTGCCGTACCCTCAGCGAGATGCATGCTTCATGTTTCCCCGGACGTTCTTACAGCCTATGGACCGCAACCTGGCAAACTCATCCAATCCTTGGGCCGGAAACTGGATATTATGTTGTCTGAAGATTTGGCCACCGGTCTAGTCACTACTATGTAGAACATTTCACTTTGCTCGATCTTTACGGGTTCCAGGGATTCCAAGTGGTCCGGTCTTCTAGAGTAGCCGGGCAGTGAGTCTGTGTCTGTGTCTTCAGACAGCGGTCGTGTCGATTTTACGACTGCCGTTGGTCTGCTTCTCCGCGTCAACCGAATCCCGTGTCTTGCAGGCAAAGCAATGTAGTCTCCTTGCCAGATAAAATGCCCTCCTCCAATGAACGTAGGTGGTCCTTGTCGGTACCTGAGGGTCGCAGGTATCATTCTCTGCACGGCAGCCCGGCCTGCATCGCCAGTCCCCTCATTCAGGGCCATGTCTGTTACTCCTCATCCTCCAAGTCTCCTCACCACCTTGGCCAGGTAGTCGTAGATGCAGACGCCCATGCTTGACAACCTTCCCCTGCCTTGCTTTGCCTACTACGTGAGTTGAGTTGCGTACATCAACACCTCACCTTACCTAATAACGTTGCAAATGCCCCTAGCTGGAGCTTGCCTACGCTCTCTCTCACTTGATGGATGTCTGGTGTGTGCGTGAGTGTGCGTACGTGCGTGTCTATGTAGGTAGCTACGCTAGTAGTGCTTTCGAGCTTCCTACGAATACCCTACCCCGTCCCGTCTTTGCTCGTCAGCAAGCCCATCCGTTTCCTTTTTCTTTTTCTTCTCGGCCCTCCGCCATCTCCATCTCGAAGCATCGCCGTTGTGTGTCGTGCTTCATCGTTCCGACGCGTTCCCACTATCCCGTACGATGATCAACTGGGACCTGCCCACTTGTCCTCTCCACCGATATTAGTCGATTCGATCCACTGCCCGCGTCCGCCCGCCGCACATTCCCGTCCCTGACAATCTGCCTACCAGACCCAACTCCCGTGCCACCTTGCCCTGCCCGGATCCCTAACCTAGGTACCTTACCTAGGCCAGCCTGGGCAGACTCGTGCGCCTGTACGGATAGTGTGCTTCTGCGAGTGGTATTCGTACAGTGCGCATGGTGTTCGCGGCTTGAAGCGAAGCGTAGCGCAGTGCAGTGCATACGGCAAAGCACACAGACAGACAACCGACAGACGCCTGGTCTTCACGGATTGCTGTGCCTTCTTCTCCGTCCAGTCAGTCAGTCTCGACTCTTACCCTTCACCTTAGCTCCATCTCACCTTATTTTGCTCAGTCTCTGTGCGCCGTCTTTCCCCCCAACGACGTACGAAAATCTGCGAATCCAATAACTCAGGAACCCGGCCCTGGCTGACCTCGTTTCCTGACGGCATCTTCCATTCCCGCAGTCCCAACCCATCCATCCGCTGAGCGTCTCGCCCCTCCTCCACTCCACGTTTCTCTCCCATCCTTTCCCGCCTTAGCCACCCACCACCACTCTGCCTGACGCCGTCGCAACGTACCTGAACCTGACCTGACCTGACCTCTTCGGCGCTTCTGTCGTCAGGTAGGTAGCTTCCATACGTTCCAGATTGCCACCTACACTACCTAGGTACATACATACATACCTACATACTTGACTACATACCTACAGGCTACATACATACATACTACCCTTACCTTACCAACAACCCTGTACCGGGACCCTTCCACCTCACTGCACAGTCCAGTCCCATTTTACTTACCTACCTTACCTACCTAGTACCTACCTGCCCCCATACCTCCTGCCTTACCTTACTTCGTACCTACCCGTCCCGTAGCTACGCACCAGCCACTTGGACAAGCTCTGGTCTCGTGTCGCAACGTCTTCTCCTCCCCCGCTTCCGTCGACGTACTACAACCTCTTCCCATCGCCTTCTCAAACCACTCCAACTCTCTTCTCGTCCGTTCCCCTTCTCCTCACAAGCTGCTGCTCTACCTCCTTCTTCCATCAAGGACCACCACTTCAAGGATCGAGGGCGCCGTCCCAAGCCTCTTTTTTCTTCTTTCTCTCCCTTCTACATCCCTCACAGACATCTCGCCATCTCCAACCGCATCCCGCCTTGCGATCACTACCCTACGCGCCTGCCATGGGATGCGCGTAGCTCTTGTCGCATTACCTCGCTCTCGACCAACGACCGCACCGCATCTCCATTCTAGACGGCAACCGCGCACTCGCGCTCGCTCACACTACACGGTACCTTTGGGCTCCCGGCGACCTTGCGCTGCGCAACAATCCCGTCAAACAAAACGTTATATTTCCTTTCGGCACTTGGGGTCTGGGTTAGACGAACTGGTTTAGACGACATTGGCGATTTTTTTTCGGTTCCCATTTCGCGCGCGCCATAATCATCTTCTATCTCTTTCACGTCGAGTCGCATCTCGCCCAAACCAAACCGTACACTGTTCAGAGGCCTACCATCTTCTAGGACACGCCCTTTTTCTCGCTCCCTGCACCTACATCTGCAGTTGCGTTGGCCCACTGCCACATCGTCAGAACTGTTGCCGCTGCTGCCTCCATCTCGCCTCGGCCAGGCTCCCAGCTCGACTGCGCCCACGACCGACACACAACACAACACCTCGCGCCACTGTTGCCGCTTCAATCTCATTGATTCATCATCCACGTTTCTCAATATCTAGAAGTTGCGCCTTTTGATACCCCGCCGATAGATCTACCCAAATTCCTGCTGTCTGGTACGTTACTGCTTTCAATCGTTTGCTGTGCGGATCACACACCTATGTCGCAAGGCTGCTGCTGCTGCTGCTGCTGCTGCTGCTGCCAGGCGATAAATCCTCCGAGGACCGGGTTCACTCCTCTCGTTGGTCCAATAGCTGCGCGGCGCCATCGTCTGTCTGACTTGACGGTCTTGTCTATCCTCGCGCGTGTCACCAGCTCCACCTCGGCTCAGCTCATCGTTGAACGAGTAGCTAAAGAGGCTCGTTCGAGGACTCAGCAATTTTTGTCATTCAGTCGCCTCGGCCTTCTAGCCTCTGAATGACTCTTGCTCGGACCTCGTGGCGCATTCCAATTGCCCTATGCCAGTGGCTGCCAGCTTGTACCCCCCGAGAGCTGAGCCGCAGCTCCCGTGACACCCCAAGCTGCTTGCGGCGAAACTCGTCTCTTTCATCTTGTCTCACAGCGCTTGCCTTTTAACGTTTAATGACATAGCTGCTAACACAAATTCTAGGCTCGTTCGGCCTTGACCGCCTTTCATCCTTGTTCTACTACTTCCGGCCGAAACAGGGTCCTCTCATCATCTCACTGAACTCATTCTTTCGTTTGAAGATATTGCTCTTCTGACACTCACACAGCAGGTGGTTCGACTGCCATTTCTTTCGACGAGGAAGCTGTTGTCTGAGTTGGTTTCAGGGTCCGGGTCTCACTTGACTAAAGTAGTAGGACAATGAGCTCTGGAGGAAGTGCTAACCCCGCCAAACCCGGCCCGCCTTCCAAACCGGGCCAGGGCACCTTCTCGGCGGTCGCTCCAAGTAGCCACGCCATCCTTCTTGATAAGCTTAATCGTCGCTCGACTCCTGATTCCGAAGCTCTGGCGAGCTCAGACGACGAGGCCGACGCTCACCGTCAAGACCTTCCTCAGCCGGTGTCTCAACCTCAGAAACCAGTCAGGCGCGCCTCTTGGCTTAACGATACCACACAACCTCTGCCTCGGCCACGCAAGGGTTCTTTCGCCAGCAGCTCTATGTCTCCTACGGCTTCCCACCCGAGCACCCCATCGGCGGAGGGCAACGCGCCTTGGGGCTCTCATTCACAGTCTTCCGGCGTCATGGGCCGGGCCCCGGTGCCAGGATCTACTTTCACTTGGGGGACTGGTATTTGGAACAACGACAGGAAGGATCCACCTGCGCGCCTGAGCGAGGTTCTGCCCTCGCCTACCTCGACGATGCCTCCTGGTTCAGCTGGAGGCTCTTTTTTCAGCGAGAGCAGCTACGGACAGACTTCGCCCGCCCCGCGAGACTCCGCCCCTAACGCTCAGATCCCGTTTGCGATTCCTCTGCACCCAACACCGAAGACTTACCGCTCCCAGTCGTACTCTGTCGGCCAGCTCGAACCCGATGCGCCGCCCGCATCTATGAGTAGCTCGACGATCCTTGGCCGTGGTCGCGCTCATGGTCACTCTGGTCTGCAGCACCGTCCCTCCCGACCCAGCATGCTGAGTGAGATGTCAAATGATGGAGGTCTGCTTGGCAAGGTCAAGGAGGTGGACGACGATGATGACGAGAGCGCAAGCGAGTCTATGCAAAGCTCGATGCATCAATCTGCCGAAGCGAAGACGATTGAGCTTCTTGCGCGTGAGAATGCCATGCTCCGGCAACAGCAACAGCAGCAGCAGCAACAGCAGCAATATCAGAACCGACTCAGGCCTAGGGCTTCAACTGGTGCCGCGTACGGGCTTGGCAACGGCTACTCACTCCGAGAGACTGTGCCAGAGGAATCCGACTATGCTATTGACGAGCTTGACGAGGCTAACGAAGGAGCTGACTTGGCAGCAAAGAGGGCCATGGGGCGCAGGATGAGCGAGTTTGGAGTCTCCGCGTTCCGTTCCCCATACGAGAATCGCAAGCTGGAAAACGTTAAGAAGGCATACTGGCATAGCTCGCTCGGATTTGGAGGTCCCGAAGGGCAGCAGAGTCGGAGACACTCATTTGCAGATATCCCGACACGTCAAGGTTCCATCAGCTCCATCAGTGAGACCGTCACCGGGCTCGATACGCCAGTGGCAGAACCGCAACAGCCCGTGGATTTCTCCGCTGCTTATGGTGAGAATCCGAATTTTCCTGTCAATACCGGTGAGTCCATCACTACGTCGCTTTGGATTTTACACGACTGACTCTGCGATATAGCATCGTATTTCACACCTGGTGGCAGCCTCCAGGCCCCCCCAGCGAGCATGTTCAGCAACCCGTTCTCCTCACCTTACCCTCAGATGCACCCCACCCAGTACGGCAACCGAGCGCCCTCGCCTCATCGTAACGTCTATGCCATGTCACAGCCGCGCCATAACCAATTACTGCACATAGTCTTGTTCAAGTGCGCCAGAGCCGATGTATTCTACATTCAGGAGGGCACCGGTCTCACGGTGAAACCAGGCGATCTCGTGATTGTCGAGGCGGATCGAGGAACTGATTTGGGAACCGTTGCGCGAGACAATGTTGACTGGCAAACTGCCAAGGAGCTGAAAGAGCACTACGCTGAGGAGCAGTACAAGTGGTTGATGATGTACTCGCAGAATGCCGCTGCCGCTCAGGACGGCACAGGCGCCGGCCTGATGGCGGCCGCAAACGGCCTCCAAGGCAGTGCTGTTGGCGGCATGGGTCCCCCGAACCAGCATCATATGCAAGAGCCCAACGCGGGAGAGCTCAAGCCGAAACTGATCAAACGCCTTGCACAAAGCCACGAGATCCATGCCTTGCGGGACAAGGAGGGCAACGAGGCCAAGGCCAAGCGTGTTTGCATGCAGAAGGTCAAGGAGCATGGGCTCAATATGGAGATCCTCGATGCCGAGTTCCAAATGTAAGTGATTTGTACTTCTCTTTGTTGGGACAGCTAACTAAGCGGCCACAGGGATTGGAAGAAGTTGACTTTTTACTACTTCGCCGACTCCTACATCAACTTCAACTCCCTTGTTACGGACTTGTTCAAGATCTACAAGACCAGGATCTGGATGTCGGCCATCAACCCGGCGTCCTTCGCCAGCCCGACTCTCGGCATTCAGGCACCAAGTGGCGTTGGCCCAGGCGCTGTCGGCGTTGGTCGTGGTTCAAACAACTCGGAAAGACGATCCAACCAGCAGCAACAGCAGCAGCAGGAACAGCAGCCTGTAGGGTTCAACGGGGCTGGGCCTGCCGGCCGTGGATTCCAGAACTCGTTCACGCCTCCTTTCGGAGGGGACAGGCCCGGCCCTGGCGCTGGCTACGGCCAGCCAAACTACCCTTATTCCCACATGGGTGGTGGATTGAGCAGCGCCCCTCGGCCTGGAAACATGCCCTACGTACCTGGAGTCATGCCTTCGCTTGACAGCTACAGCTTCCAGGGAGCGGGTGACTATCAGATGCGCACGCGTTTTGCTCCGGCCCCGGAAGGACCTGGCCCTCACGATACGGGTGCTCCAATGAACTCCCAAAACGATTGGGCGGCTGCCTTCCAGGGTCTGTCTCTGAACAGCCGCTGATGAGACTTGTTCTTCCTCCGGTTGAGAAGTTATCGATATTGGACGCGCAACCTCATTCATCTACGACTCGTCGATTCTCGCACCGAGATTTAATCTTTTTCTTCCATTCCACTTCTTCACGCGTTGCTGCCACATCGAACCCACGCATCCGAATCTGGTTGGCATGGCCGAGGCATTATAAGCATGGCCGTGGCTGAGAGGCCCGGCGGCATTTCTCTCACTTTTGGCGTTGGAATGGTTCTCATTTTCTGTTTAAATTGTCAAAACGGCGGGACCTTTTTGTGCTTCTTTGGGAAGACAAAAGAAGGCTTAAAAAGGAAAGGAAGACACGTTGAACTACACACCACTTTCACTCTTGTTTTGTTTGCTTGCGTTTCGCGATGCAGGGACCACGGCCTCCCCCATTCATGATGATGAGAGATTCAAGAGGAGATTGAGAGAGACTTTCACTACTACTCAGGGCACTACCGTCATAGACAGAGAGACTTTTTAGCACGAGCATGGTGTAACCTGAGAATCAAAAAAGGGACTTGTTTCTGGTTAATGGCTCGGTGGGATTCTTGTACGAAAGATTTTGCTTTTCCATTGGGTTTTGAGAATATAAGGATTACACAATTTGGTTGACGAGTTCGCAGTAGACCTTGGAGATGGTGGTGCCGATGTCCAGGTATCAATCATGCCGTCTGAGAGGGGTCACACGTGAATTGATACGCGATCTTGAGGATGTTCTTATATCCTTGGAATATTTATCGTCTGTATTGATGTTCTTGCCTATGTTGCTTTGTCCTCCTTAATTCCTTGGTTAAGAGGTATTTCTGACATATAGCAATGTTCAGGAAGGCAGTTGCTTCCTTGGCTGGTCAGCTGCCCTCCCTGACTGGGTGGCGACTTCTACTCCTGTAATACAATGGAATCGGGAAAGCGCTGCTTTGCATGGGTGTCGTCACCTCCTTCCTCTATTTTTCCTAACAGCATGGTAGGTAGGTAGATGCCACGCCTGCTGGAGAGGTGCAGCTTTCCATCATCTCATGCCAACAGATGTTCGTTTTCCACATTCGGCATCGCGTCCAAAGAGCAACAGCCCCCATTGTTAGGATATCCAATCAACCATTCTTCTTTTGTGTGCATATTTCGCCTCAGTGCTCGCATCCTTAAACACGTGTCGGCCGGTTGGCGACGATGGAGGAAGCCATCACCGGCGCTGAAGCCACCATGGCCCCCGAAGACAATAAGGCCCCCAGAGCTACCGCGGCGCCTGAGAAGAGCCGCACACCTGCCACAACAGACACCCTGACTACTACAACAAACACCCTGAGCAGCCCAGCGAAAACAGGGAGCAGCCCGGTAAGGGACGGGAGCCAGGATCAAAGGAGAAAAGTCAGCCTGACCAAGTACGGTAAGAACCGCACATGGAGAGGTCCAGGCAAGTTGCTCGTGGTCCCCATACATGTAACTGGATATCTGACCTGGAATAGATGGGCGGCAACAAATCAAATCAAGAGCACCGTCACGACGTGGCAGATCGAAGTATAAACTTCCCACAACCGAATCAAACCCCCTTGTTATTGACGAGGATTCTTCGGGGAACCCGAGTCTTGATAAGAAGGCTGCTGGAACTGTTGAGACTGGAGCAAAGAAAAGTGAATCTCCAACTCACAGCGCCTCGAAGAAAGTCTCCCCGCCTGAGGGAAAGACTGTGCCAAGCGAGGACCAACCCTCGGAGCCAGAGAATGCGAAGCTCGGCCACGATGGGTGAGATTTCCAAGCCAAGACATGTTTCAGTACCTACTTGCTGATCATATTCCAAGGACAAGACTATCCAAGCGGTTGAGTTCCTCCGGCCGCGTGAAAAAACCCGGCGGCACCAAACAGAAAGGGTCGAGATCATCGAAGTAAACTGGAAGAAGCTTGCCTGGTGAAGTGGCTGGGCCTGACAGACGATTGATTGATTGCTGTTCTCTGCACCTGACGGCGAACGGAGGAGGTGAAACCGATGTCCATGGAGCAGAGTACGTCGGTATTGGTTCAATATTGACATGGAATTGGTGCAATCCTTTCAATGCGGTGTTCACCAAGACTTGGAGCTTGTGGTTTTCAAACTGGGCGGGCGCAAAACTTGCATTGGTATCAGTATAAAAAGGGGTGCTGTCGATAACGAGAGTGGTAGTTCAAGAACCCATGGTTCTTGGGGATTGGGGGTTGAACATATCGGATATGAATAGCACGATAACACTGAATGGACTATGATGAGCATAGCACAGCTACTGGCAACGATAGCAGAGACAACGTCCGACGATAAGTTACAGACTACGACAGAGGCGGCGAGCGTCTGCCTGGTGGGGCACCTGGCCTCACCGAGAAGCCCTGCTTTGCCCTGGTGCTCACCGAGCCCTGTCGGTGAGCGGGGTATGGTCCCGTTTTTCTGTCCTCTTCGGGACTAGCGCATCTCGCTTGGGGCTAGCACCCACATTGTGAACTTCGAAATTTCACTGCCCGATTGAACTTTCTCTTCGTAGCCATTTTTTTCAACTCCAACCACCACCCTCACCAAAACCTCGGCAGCCGGATTTTACGTGAAAAGCTGGTTTGTTCCCCTGCGATCCCCTCGACAGCCTGATTGACGTCGGCTTGACTTTCTTTTCTACTATTTCCTCAATCAAACAGAGCGGCTAACCTCTTGTCTCGCTGTTGCAGTCAAAATGGGTGCCCTCAAGTATGTCGAAGAGCTCCAGAAGAAGAAGCAGTCCGATGTGATGCGCTTCCTTCTGCGCGTTCGCTGCTGGGAAGTACGTTGAATCACCCAATCCGAAAATGTGGACGCCAAAGACTTTTTCACTCTCCTCCGACGACCTATCTTCCTGTCGACGGCTCTCAATGGGATTTGGTGAAAGAATCTGATTGAGAAGCACAAGTCGGTCTGGGAGTGCGGGGACTCGGGAGGATTGGGAGAACTTTGCGTTCCTGCTATACACTCGTTGAACTTTTTGCTGAGAGTGCATCAATATAGCTCCGTCAGTTGAACGTCATCCACCGCGCCTCGCGTCCCTCGCGCCCCGACAAGGCTCGCCGCCTCGGTTACAAGGCCAAGCAGGGCTACGTTATCTACCGTGTCCGCGTCCGCCGTGGAGGCCGCAAGAAGCCCGTCGCCAAGGGTGCCACCTTCGGTACGTTTTGTCCCTCGAGAGAAAGGATTGCCGGTGGAAGGAAGAGATGTTCGGGAATGGGAGTGATGAAGATGAGGGCAGAGGAAAATTTTGTCTCGTCACAGACCGCTAACATGACGCTTCACCAACAGGCAAGCCCACCAACCAGGGAGTCAACCAGCTCAAGTACCAGCGCTCCCTCGCTGCCACCGCCGAGGAGCGTGTCGGCCGCCGCTGCGCTAACTTGCGTGTCCTCAACTCCTACTGGATCAACCAGGACTCGACCTACAAGTACTACGAGGTCATCCTCGTCGACCCCCAGCACAAGGCCATCCGCACCGACCCCCGCATCAACTGGATCGTCAACCCCGTCCACAAGCACCGCGAGGCTCGCGGCCTCACCGCCACCGGCAAGAAGTCCCGCGGCCTCAACAAGGGCCACCGCTACAACAAGACCCGCGCCGGCCGCAGAAAGACCTGGAAGCGCCACAACACCCTCTCCCTCTGGCGCTACCGGTAAGCGGCTCGCCCACCATCAATGTCAACATAGGCGGCACCGCTCTGAGAAGGGCGGTCGTCGTCGTGTTGGCGCTGTTGCTGTTGCTGTTGCTGCTGCTACTGTTTCTACTACAACTGGGGACTTTAACGACGACGACAAGAAAAAGACGGCTGGCGTACTATCGGGCCCTGCTGCCGTCAGGTGTGGTTTCTGGGTGGTATTCGGGACTGCCGCCGCGCGTTTGCGCGACGCACTTGGTATCATGCGCTGGAGTATTCTGGTCTGACCAGGGAATTTCAATTACGATACGAAAATGGAAACAGACTCTCTGAAAGAGCTTATACATAACTTTTGGGCGGGCGTAATGATCAAAATGTGATTTTTGTGATGACACACTTCAACTCCCCGATTTCTCCCTCGTAAAGTCCTCTCTGGCTGTGGTGTGCTTCGTGTGTGTGTGCCCCTGAATGTCTTCATGTCAGATACACCTCTAGAATCAGGCTTACGGGCTCTAAGTGGCCTTGATATGTGCTCACAGTCGCCTTCTCGGTCGTGGTGGTTCTTCCAAACAAAGCAGTGAAAATTTCGACCAGGGCTCCAATAGGTGGGGGTTTTGCAAGCGGGCAACCCCCCGGCAGGCGTGATCGACAGGAGACATCCCGATAAGATGTGCACGGCACGGGAGTCTCATCAGTCGAGGGCCTCATCACGGCCGGGCTGACGAGCCAAAGCAATTTGTCCTCGTCTGCCACACGGTTTCAGCTACATTTCCTTGCTCCGATTCGAATTTCACTCCTCTTTTCATGTGGAACCAGCACCGCGTCTACACATGCACTGGAAGGAAATATGAAGCAGGACAAGGGCCATTGATTTCGTGGCCGAACGCAATACCGACTGGCAATGCAGATACACGTCTACTACCATAACATGCGACTGCAAGGTTTTTGATCTCCTGTATATCAAACTGTAATTACTGGTTCTATCTTCCCAGATTATCTGTCATCTTGTAATAGAGTGGGTACCGATGGCGCTCATGAAGAAAGATCCCTAAATCTCATATCCCTCGCTAAAGACCTTCCATACCCGGGTATTTTGTTTTCCAGTGACAAAAGAAAAAGACTCGCGACGCCGACTCCCTAGTGACCAATGCTTTTCAGGCCAATTCATTTGCCCATCTAACTCTTCTTTACGGACGACTCCGTACGTAGTGCCCCTAGAACTGGCTCATTGAAGCGACGCTGTAATTGGTGGCTCGGGCCCGGTGAGCGGGATGCAGCGTGGTCAGCGGCCGCTCGATGTTGGGAATGATGGGGCTGCGGCGGTCCTCATTGTAGTCGTGCGGCTGTTGAGGTGTGTAT